GGAATTTTGACGATGTGGGGGAAGAGCGTCGGAATATCAGTGTACTATTTGGTGTGAGGACACGACGCCATGGCTATTATGGGGAGTTTTGGCTACCTTGGTTTTAATTATAAAAGTCATTTTGGATATGCAGGCGACGAGTCACAATAACGTGGCTAAAGTAAGTTGACCAGACCACACACTAGAAGGTGAAGGGACGACGACGTTTCGGTCCGTCCTGGACCATTCTCAAGTCGATTGTGCAGGACGGACCGAAACGTCGTCGTCCCTTCACCTTCTAGTGTGTGGTCTGGTCAACTCAGTTTGTTTTAGAAACTGGACTCTGCACTTTGTCCTATTTTGGTTTTGGACCCCGACATAAAAGTCAATTAAGGTGGATTTGAAGATATAAATTGCCTGGTCTACAAAACTACCCGCTGAAATTTATTAAAATTTAGAGTGGTTAAGTTTACAAACAAGGATCCTTTCCTGCCTGAGAGATGTACCTTTTTTTTTACCCAATAGTCATTTGAATATAAGCAAAAAAAAAAAAAAAAAAGCCCAGGAGTTTCTATATTTGTGTATATTTGTGTATATTTCTATTTTCTATGTGTATATTTGTGTGATGCTGTAGAGAGTTGTGGCTCGCCTCTCCAGGCCAGTCCTCAACACCATATGTTGCTGGAGATTACACAATTTGAAAACCCTACATATAAAAGCAGAACAACCCACCACAAACAACGGAATGATTCACTCTGCCCACCACGAGAGTGAGAACGAGACCGGCAGGCGAACAAGCCAACAATGACGTTACTACCCGCTCACTTAGATGTTTCCTTATGTCTTACGGGCTATTCATCCCCGTGCCACCTCTTGGGTGGCTTAATCTTCATCAATATATTGTCATTTCTCACTTGAAAATGAAACTTGTAAACTTGAAACGTTGTGTATGTTATAATAACTATAATACAGTTAGTTTTTCTTTTCGTCAACTCTGAACATTTATGACATTCGGAGAAATCCTCTTCCAATTAACCTCTGCAGTGCGCAAAGCGCCTTTAGGCGTTCTGAGAATTGGGCTATTTTTTTTTAAATTAGGCTATATTTTAATGTTTTTACGCAGATGTATGAGGACCAATTAGAAGAATAGAAGCCATAAACAAGAAAATACTGTAATAAACACGGAATATGCAGTCATATTCACTGAAACACGTCTAAATGAAAATCTGTTGCCAATATACACAATAAAATGTATATATATTTCACTGAATTCAGTGAGTTGCGCGTTGGTCGACTTTTGTACCATCATGGCAGAGTCGGTTAAGGCAGGCGTCTGGGAATATATATATATATATATATATATATATATATATATATATATATATATATATATATATATATATATATATATATATATATATGAAAACAGTCTCGTTCCAAGTGTTTGTGTCCGTAATAGAGAGAGAGAGAGAGAGATTGGGCATAAGAAAGCAATATAAATGTTTATTACATTTCACGGTAAAAAAAATAATAAAATATTGCGCACATTTATTAGAAAATCCTCGGCAATTTATTTTATAAATAGCAGAGAGAATTTTGTTGATGAAATAATGCTTCATTCTGGCTTGGTACACCCCCCCCCCCCTTGTGCTGTAAGTGGGGATGGTTCCTGTAAGTGGAGGTAGCTGTTATGTTGTAAGTGGGGGTGTGGGGGGGGGGGGGTGTAGCTGTTATGTTGTAAGTGTGGGGGGGGGTAGCTGTTGTGTTGTAAGTGTGGGGGGGGGTAGCTGTTGTGTTGTAAGTGTGGGGGGGGGTAGCTGTTGTGTTGTAAGTGTGGGGGGGTAGCTGTTATGTTGTAAGTGTGGGTGTGGGGGGGGTGTAGCTGTTATGTTGTAAGTGTGGGGGGGGGGTAGCTGTTGTGTTGTAAGTGTGGGGGGGGCAGCTGTTGTGTTGTAAGTGACATAGTTCTTGTGATATAAGTGGGAGAACACGAAAAGGTTCAGAAGATTGCAACGAGGCTCGTCTTAGAATTGCAAAGAATGATGTATGAAGCAAGACTGCAAGAACTAGACCTGGCGACGCTTGAAAAGAGGGAAAAAGAGAAAGACAATAGAGACATAAAAAGTATTTATTGGGATTGACAGAGTGGAAAAAGAGGAAATCTTGACAATGCATACCAACAGAACAAGAGGGCAAGAGGGCTTTCCCAACCAAGCTGCATGGATAGAATCTTCTATCCATGCATGGATAGAAGCTTCTATCCATGCATGGATAGAAGCTTGGGAATCAGCTGAGTCAGAGATACGTTATAAAGTCTTAATTTAGCGTGAGTGTAGTGGGGAAATGGATTGAACTAAAGGAGCAGTTTGTAGAAGCAAATTACATTCATAATTTCAAAAGCAAATATGTTATGGAAATAGGTCAGGAGTGCATTAGACAACTACGAAGGCGGGGTCCAAGGACTAAAGCTGCATTCCATTCACCTGGGCTGTATGGGCCTCGAACCCTGGACACCACGTGTGTGAGGCCGAGGCTTTATCGACTGGGCTATGAGTAGTCTTAAAAAGAAAAGTTTCCAGAAAAAAAAGTTGCTACAACTGCATCTTAAAAGCACAAACAGGTATGCACAAATTCGTGAGTACTCCCCCCACCCATAGGTCATGCAGGTCAGCGTTCAATCCCCGACCGTCCAAGTGGTTGGGCACCATTCCTTTCCCCCGTCCCATCCCAAATCCTTATCCTGACCCCTTCCCAGTGCTATATAGTCGTAATGGCTTGGCGCTTTCTCCTGATAGTTATCTTGTCCCCCCCACCCACCTTTCCCCCATCACCCATCTCCTCCCCTCCCATACCCCTCCCACCACCACCTTTTATCTTCATCAGCAAGGTTTTGTCTGATGTCTCCAGGATGACACATGCGTCCCTCTCCATCTCTCATTGTCACCAACACGACCTCGTTCTATGGGTAAGGAGAGAGGTGTGGGTCACCATCTATGGAAGGGAAGGTGAATAGGTGACTCACCATGTATGGGAAGGGGTAAGGGTGTGTGTGAAGCTGAGTCACCATCTTTAGAAGGTCTGGAGAGCTAAATCCCCAACTGTTAAAAGTGAATCACCATCACTTGCTTCACTCTTCACTATCCCCCAAGAACTATCCTCACACTGTCACTCCTATTCTGCCTTTTCCCGTGTTCCTTTATCGCCGAGAATTAAATAAAGCACATTAATTGCATTCTAGTCCCTTACACCAGGTAGGCTCATTCCCCCTAGTCTCATACTGGTGTGATGTATCAATCATGTGGTGAACATATGCTCGAAAGCCCAAGAGCCTCCCCTTCCCCTGGGGAGGCCTCGGCTCGTACAAGATGCTAACGAGCATTAAAACCAGGGTCAACAGCCCTTAACAACGTGTTCCGTAGCTCACTGAGACGGCGGGTTATATTAATAACTCTACAAGTGTTATATAGCGTCGCTAATCGTAGCGTGAAGGTTGTAGCAGCGTAGCGTGACTAAGTTGTGACCAGTGTGTTACTAAGTGCTAGGGTGTGGTCAGTGTAAGTGTTACTAAGTGCTAGGGTGTGGTCAGTGTAAGTGTTACTAAGTGCTAGGGTCAGTGTCAGTGTAAGTGTTACTAAGTGTTAAGTGACAGCGGGTCAAGAGAGCGACCTGCAGTGTTTTAAATGATGTTTAGAGTAAGTAACTTCGTCATGATATCATTGGTAGTGTTGTTGCTATCACTGGTAGTGTGTTGTATCACTGGCAATGTGTTGCTCTCACTGACAAATACTTTATAACTGTTGAAAAAAATGCAACACTTTGAATATAGGACAATCCAATGCATATCTTAACTACCACATCCAGAACGCGACCATGTAGCAGAGTGACGAATACCAGGAACTAGCAGTTAGTATCTACCAGTCACTCAAAGTTGCTCAACAAGCAGGAAATAATAAAATAAAAAAAGATACGATTAACCGAAAAAAGAGACCTTTGACTTCAAGGAAAAATCAAGAGTAGTTTTCCAGGTGTACCAGCTAGGCTAGCCCCCGATCTTGACTTCTGTAACCAAGCTTGGAGGCTTCATCTTTAAACGGACATATGTGCCTTGGAGAAGGTTCAACAGAAAGATCAACAAATCTCCCGCAAAAGCTATGTCAATTCTCATAACATGGAAGGTTGAGGGGCCACAAAACTGACACCGCTACAAACCGGACACGACAAGGCTGATCTTATCGACCACGAATTGGAAAATATTAATCCAGACGACTTCTTTAAAAGGTCTCATGCAACACACACATACAAGGGGGCAACATCTCCAAGCTCAACAAGCAACAGGAGATGCTCCCTTCCACTCACCTGGGCACTAGGAGGCTCGAACTCTGGTCCCCCATGTATGTTTACTTGATTTAGCAGGAGATGCTCCTTCGCTATAGGGTTATAAACCCGTGGAACCGCCTACCCGCCGAAGCCGTAACTGATAAATTTGGTTTCAAATTCATTTGGAAAAAATCCTCATGAATAATGGGGTGATATCTGACAAGCCGTCGGCTTCCTGTTCCTGTCGAGGCTATTATAGATAGTGGCCCTCAGGTAAATTCAGGTTTATATCAATTTATACTTCTATCAATCTTTGTATATATTGATATATACTTGTATCTTTGTATATATAAGTGTATACTTGCATATTTGTATATGCCAATGTATACTTGCATATTTGTATATGCCAATGTATACTTGTATATAATGTATATATTCCTGTATCCTCAGCTATCCCTGTATCTTCGTATCTGTCCCTGTATCCTCACCTCAGTCTCTGTATCCTAGTATCTATCTCTGTATCCTCGTATATATCTCTGTATCCTTGTATCTAGCCTTGTATCCATCCGCGTATTTTTGATGTGCTGCTCTGTATATATGCAGGTACGTATGTATGTATGTATGCAGGTATGTATTACCTGTAACCATGCAGGTATCCCTGACATTAGCGGCCATAACTGTAATCACTGTATCTCTCTCTCTCCCTAACAGGCAAACTGGTTCCCTTCGTGGAGTACTGCGTCTGTCATGCCTCTGTCCTAACCATCCTGGTGATTAGCTTCGAGCGTTACTACGCCATCTGTCGGCCGCTGCGAGCTTCCTACACCTGCACCAAGATGAGGGCTTGCACCTGTATCCTCACTATCTGGGCCGCAGCTGTCATCCTCTCCTGGTAGGCAAGAGGGAAGGATACATTTGTTTTGTTTAATTTTGCCCCAAGGGGCGAGTTTATTGGGCAGCGCCTCTCATCCTGTGAGTGGACACACCGCCATAGCAGCATGTACAACACTCCCCAATAGGAAGAAAACCCGCTGGGTTGCTGGCGATGAGTCACAGTAACGTGGCTGACGTAGGTTGACCAGACCACACACTAGAAGGTGAAGGGACGACGATGTTTCGGTCCGTCCTGGATCATTCTCACAATCGACTTGAGAATGGCCCAGGACGGACCGAAACGTCGTCGTCCCTTCACCTTCTAGTGTATGGTCTGGTCAACATACGTCAGCCACGCTACTGTGACTCATCGCCTGCATATTGATTACACTTCAACATTCACCTGTGCTTCCATGTTCTCTCGTCCCTTACCTGGAAACGCCTGTCTGTCCACTTTGTAAGTTCCTCTTTAGTATCCTGAACGTTGTGATCATATGTCCTCTTATCCTTCTCTCTTCTACTGCGGTTAGATCTTGTGTTCTATGCCTGTCTTTATAACATTTTATAATCGTTGTCTCCTGATTTACCTGGTATGGGTTCCGTGTCTGAACTACACGTTCTAGGTCCTCTACCTGGTATGGGTTCCGCGTCTGAACTACACGTTCTAGGTCCTCTACCTGGTATGGGTTCCGTGTCTGAACTACACGTTCTAGGTCCTCTACCTGGTATGGGTTCCGCGTCTGAACTACACGTTCTAGGTCCTCTAAACTACCGTGTTCTGTTTGACGGGGGATTCGATTACTCAGGTTCTTGAAAACTATTATTATGTGTGCTGCTTTTGCACACGCTGCTGATGTTACTCAGTTGATGTGTAGCTTCCAGTTATGCACTTATAACTTCAGTGTCACTAAAGAGCCTCTTAAAAATACTAGAAAGAAGGCCACGAATCAGATAGTAGTAAAGACGAGAGTACCTAACGGGCTGGTGACAGTCAGCCAAAGAGGCAAGAGGTTGGAATAGCGAAGGGTAACAGCGCAATCCTCCCCCCTCCCCCCAACCACTTGGGGTGGACGGTAGAGCGACGGTCTCGCTTCATGCAGGTTGGCGTTCGATCCCCGACCGTCCAAGTGATTGGGCACCATTCCCTTCCCCCCGTCCCATCCCAAATCCTTATCCTGACCCCTTCCCAGTGCTATATAGTCGTAATGGCTTGGTGCTTTCCCCCTGATAATTCCCCTTCCCTCCCCCCCCCCCAAGGATCGATCCTACCGCCGATACTGTGTCTCATTTGTGTAAATAATATATAAGAGTCTTACATGTCAATACTTGCAGATGATGCACAGTTACTGAGAAGAGTCGGGACAGGTGCAGAGTGCAGGAAATATGTTAATGAAAGTTATTGCAGCAGGAGATCGGTCGCTGTATGCCGGGGCCCAAGAGCTGATGCTTGCCCTATAAGCACAAATAGGAGAGTACAAAAACACTCACACACACACACACATACACAGCCGGTGTCTGGAGGCCGGTGGGTGAGCGGACAGCACGCTGGACGCGTGATCCTGTAGTCCCGGGTTCGATTCCGGGCGCCGGCGAGAAACAATGGGCAGTTTTTTTCACCCTGATGCCCCTGTTAACTAGCAGTAAATTGGTACCTGGGAGTTAGTCAGCTGTCACGGACTGCTTCCTGGGGTGTGTGGTGTGGAAAAAAATAGTAGTTAGTAACAGTTGATTGACAGTTGAGAGGCGGGCCGAAAGAGCAGAGCTTAACCCCCGCAAGCATAACTAGGTGAATACAACTAGGTGAATACACATACACACAGACAGACACACACACACACACGGGTAGATAAAGACAGGCTATTTAACACAAGGGGCACACGCACTAGGGGACACAGGTGGAAACTGAGCGCCCAAATGAGCCACAGAGATATTAGACAGAACTTTTTTAGTGTCAGAGTGGTTGACAAATGGAATGCATTAGGAGGTGATGTGGTGGAGGCTGACTCCATACACAGTTTCAAGTGTAGATATAATAGAGCCCAGTAGGCTCAGGAATCCGTACACCTGTTGATTGACGGTTGAGAGGCGGGACCAAAGAGCCATAGCTCAACCCCCGCAAACACAACTAGGTGAGTACACACACACACACACACACACACACACACACACACACACACACACACACACACACACACACACACACACACACACCCACACCCACACACACACACACACACACACACACACACACACACACACACACACACACACACACACACACACACACACACAAGGCTCCCCAATATAGGCTAATCAACCAATCTAATGACAGGGACCCCAAGACACGGATTTTCATTACCCAGCGTGTGGAGGCTAATTGGACTGTGGCGGTAATTATTGAACTTGGATTGGTTAAGTGATGGTTCATTAATTATTAGGTGATCGCTGCTTTTAGATATCAAGGGGAAGTGTATTTACTATTTGTGCCTGCAGGATCGAGCTGTTAGCTCTTGGGCCCCGCCTTCATAAGCGTTTAATGTACTGATTCCCGACCTATTTTGATGTATCATATCTGCTATATATTTATTTATCTCACATAAACATCACCAGGCTTCAGCCCGGGGCAGCTGTCTAATTCCCTGGTACCGATTTACTGCTAGGTAAACAAGAGGCTTCACGTGAAAGAAACTCGGCCCAATTGTCTCTGCTTCGAGCGAGAATTGAACCCGGGCCCTTACGACTACGACTTCCGAGCACTTCCCCGCGCTAACTACCTCTCCGCTCTAACAACCAAGCCTTAACTACCTCCCAGCACTAACAACCTAGCCTTAACTAGTCACTTTAGTTTCGACACTTCCCCCTTTTTTCCCTAAAGTTGAAGAATTATTTCTTTATCCTCACTATCTCACCTTAAATGATAGTGATGCAATTGGTGGGAAATGACACAATTAGAGAGAGAATAGGGGGAAGAGGAGGAGGAGGAGGAGGAGGAGGAGGAGAAGGAGGAGGAGAGGGAGAGAAGCCAGTGATGATGGATGAAATTTTCCAAGAAACTTTCAACAAAAGTTTTATCTCTTGCTCTTTTTAGTGTGATATTTTATTGTGTTTTGATGTGTCTCACTGCGAGCACAATCATCACTATCACCGTCATCACCGTCATCACCGTCATCACCACCATCACTATCACCACCATTACCATCACTTTCATTATCACCTGCCATAAGCATCACCGCCAACACTACATTCACCACCACTACCGCAGTCACTAACACTCTCACTACTCACCACAACTACCACCATCACCACGACAGGTAAATCCATCACAGACCAGCTTCAACACGAGTCATAATAAATAGTGGCACAGAAGGAGCCGCACCTCACTGCTCTGTAGTCACTGTTAGCTAATCACTATCAGGCTAGCACCACTGCCACCTCCTTTACGGTTTCACATTCAACAATATAGTGTTCTAGTGAAAGCATTAAAGGTTTATCACAGAGTTTACAATCTGAGTATTCTGGTAGTGGCTCAGCCTCACTAACCTGCCAGATGTGACTATAGCCAAGGTGAATTCGCGCAATTACTACATCACATTGCCTGGTTCGGACTACACCTTGTCACTCCCACCACCAACATTACCACCTTCCTCATCCCCCCTCACGCTAGTTCACCTCACACTCACAGCCCAAAAGGCAACTCATCTCCTCATAATCACTTCTGAGTGACCTCGTCTCTCGCCCTGACCCTAGCGTGGCCCATGACCTAAGTTCCCCTCGTGAACAGCCACTTGAGTGGTTCTTCCGCCCCTACCAGCCATCTCTCAAGTCTTCGTCTCATTCTTGACGCAGGGTGAAGATGGAGAAGGGAGGGAGGGAGGGAGGGTAGTTTAAGGGAGGGAGAGAGGGTAGTTAAAGGGAGGGGATTGTTAGGAAGAAGGGTTATCACCCTTCTGAGTGATAATTAAAAGGGCATAAGGGGCAGAAGTGTAATCTGGAAATAATTCTCTGGTACAATGTGGTTTGATAAACCAAATATTACATTATTTATTCAAAAAATTTATTATTGAATGATTACACGTACTAACACACGTACCCACACACAAACACAAACACACACACACACACACACACACACACACACACACACACACACACACACACACACACACACACACACACACACACACACACACACACACACACACACACACACACACACACACACACACACATAAACACACACTACCAGAGTGGTAGACGGTTGGAACAAGTTAAGTGAGAAGGTGGTGGAGGCCAAAACCGTCAGTAATTTCAAAGCGTTATATGACAAAGAGTGATGGGAAGACGGGACACCACGAGCGTAGCTCTCATCCTGGTAATTACTAACTCGATGATAAATCGAGAAATTTCTCACATGAGAAATGAGTCGCTGTATCAATCTAAGAACGTTTGAGAGGCGGGGGCCCAGAGCCTAGCTCGACCCTACACGCACATCTAAATCAGTCCATGTAGATGAGCCCTCACACGTGAGCCAGATAAAGAGAACTTCTTCAGTTTAAGAGCCGTAAATAAGTGGATCGGACTAGATGAAGGGGTTGTCTAGGTCGATTTGTTTCATAGGTCTAAATGTGGTACACGTTTTAAATACTCTTGTCTGACTGCCTTTTATCCTCCTCTCCTAGACTATGGGTCCCCCATAGTATTAATAGAGATAGTACGCGACCCTCTCTGTCTCTCACACACACACACACACACACACACACACACACACACACACACACACACACACACACACACACACACACAAGAGTCAATGCTCGATCCTGCAAGCACAAATAGATGAGTACACACACACACACACACACACACACACACACACACACACACACACACACACACACACACACACACACACACACACACAAGAGTCAATGCTCGATCCTGCAAGCACAAATAGATGAGTACACACACACACACACACACACACACACACAAACGATAAGTAAGCAATTTAATAATGCC